TACATCACATTGTTACAATATGTGTGTGTTTTTTCTACCGCGCAAGCAAATACCACACGTTTTTAGTACAGCGTACATCAGCTTTAAGGACGCACATGGTTTTTCTTCAAAAAAAGCGTCCTTAAAGCGGGTTTTGTCCTTAATTTTCCGGGGACGATAACCCGCCAACCCCGGGGCCGATCGAGGCATGCTGTAGCTTAAACGACTCGGCTATTGATAGGGAAGGACAGTACGAAATTTCAGCACCTTATTGTTCGTCGATCCATCTCAACTAAAATTAGTATTTTTATATTGAGATGGTTTGAAAACCGAGCACGTGCAGCAGTACACAGCAGTATTGTAGTACACTATATTGTTGCATGCTGGCGCCGCCTGAAGTGTACTGCCAACAAAGATGTAGTGAGAGACACTTCAAGTTATTGTTTCAAAGAGAGCAAGCTACCCTGACGGCTTTTCCCTCCACATATCGCGAAGAGTTCCCTGCACCTCTCCCCTCGGCTTCGCTCTACGCTTAACCTGAGTCTCATGAGTGAACGAATGCACGGTCTTCGAAAGAAGATGCTGCGTCTCGCTGTACTCGCCCCCCGTTCCATTCGCATACAGGTACAAGCGAAGCTCCTCGAAACGAGAGTGGACCTCGGCCTCTGAGAGGGACGAGGTAATACACGACTCCGGCCTACTGTCGCCGTCCTCCTCGTCACTCGATACGTCATCGTCAATTTGTAAGCCAGCTATGTCCTTCTCTACTTCCTGCAGTTCCAACGCGACCTCATCTTCCTTCACGTTGGGGTCGTCCTCTACAGTAAGCCACGTCTGAAATGCCTGTCGGATGTCCTGCTCAGAGAGCCCTGCACCCTTCTCGACACACAAGTTTTCCATCAACACTCGCGGCATGGACCTAGAGTTCGCAGATCGCGCAACGCTGGTCGGCATCGACATATTTTTGACCAAGTCGCAAAGGTCGTCGATGACACCCTGCTCGTCCTTGTTCTCGCGGTCCAGTCGCGTGTCCATGCTCTTGAGCAGATTGCAGTGCTTACTGGGGAGGATGTCAGCCTTCAGCCAGCACCTGATGACCGTCTGGGCAAAGAGCCTACTCCACTTCTCAGAGAGGATCTCGGTGACGTCCAGCATTGTTGCCTGCCCTGCATCACTGAGGCCCCGGCAACCCCTGTCAAACGAAAACGTGGGGAGAGGCAAAACCGGGGACAAAACGGGGGACGAGGCGGTCAAAATCGGGGACAGAGAATAAGTTTAGTTTCAAGCATAAGCGATGTGTCAAGTTGTAGACGCCACACCAATTAATAATACTTACTTGTATATATTCAGCACCTTCGCCAAAATCTGCCCCAACGGAATTAATTACAGAGCGCCTCTTCTACAGTTGTTTGCCCACCTTCGGATCTTTCGTGCACGGACGGTGTCCCAGTCTTCGATGAGGTCCGCCAGCCTGGTCACCATCTCCGTCTTGTACTGGCACTTGAGTACGAAGAGGATGCCCATGTCCATGGGCTGGTAGACGGAGGTGACGTTCGGAGGCAAGCAGATGATGATGATTATTTGCGGGTCGCTGTTCTTAATTAATCTTGTGGCCGGGGCAGTTGTCCCACAGGAGGGCCACCTTTTTCGCCGTCTTGCTCCTGACTGGTGCCGATCCCGTCCTCATCCGTTCTCTTCTGACAATCCGTGCACATTCGCTGCTGCCCGTAGCCTTCATCCCCGATGCCTCGCCCGCAGAAGGCATGCATCGGCCGCCCGCAAGGGCACTCGTGGATTGCTGCTGTGATCAGCAGAGACTTGTGCTTGCACGTTGGTTCCCCACATACATGTTTTCTTGCCGGTGCTTGTATCAGAGGAACCTCCGGTAGGCTGTAGGAATCTCTTCATGTGTACCAACAGCAGCAGCAGCAGACCACGCTCTATATCGTTGCGCGTGTGATGAACCAAACATAGCACTCCACAGGTTCGCAGAATAGAAATTGTATATACCCCCCTTTATTTGTACTGTCTGTCGGCCCCCTCGGTTCTGGAAAAAAGTCGTCGGGGTGTTTCTCCTTACTACGAGCGTCCTTAAAGCGGGGTCGACTACTGTACAGCGTACATCAGCAGCAGACCAGCAGAATTTAGCGTGTGAGAAAGTGTTCCGCGACGACAACAACAGCCGTACAGGGTGGCGCATGTTCCCATTTTCCGCTAGGCAATTATTCTTCATGCCCCTGCTTCAAAATGACACTGACTACTGTCGTGCCCTCCCGTCCTTGGTGGGTCATCTAGACTCTGTAGATGGTTGGGTCACTCCCTCTCAAAACCTGAATCATACGCAGCGTGGGAGTGCTGTACACTCTGTACATGCTTCAACGCCAGATTGGTCGGCTTGTTTTTTTACCAACGCAAAGCATCAAATACTGGCAACAAACCCCGAGCCGATACTTGTAGGACGAAAACACACAACACACCCGTTTGACGGTCAGTGAGAACAATGGCGGTGGAAGGAAGGCATATGAAGGCGAAAGCACTCCAGAACGAACTAGAGTGCAAGGTGACAGCCTTCTGTTGCTACCGTTCCTGTCTTCGATCCGGAGAATAGCTTAGCCTCCCCCATCCTACCGCTCAAGGGGTTCCCGTCCATGGCATTTACACGTGTTTTGTGTTTTCACCCGCACTGAGACTGACGTCTTTTCATTGGTCAGCCGGTTAGCGGTAGTAATAATAAAGAACGAGTAGATTTGTTTGCTTTCTATGCATAAAAAGGCGCACACCCCCCGATCCGATCGGCGTGTTGCGCCCTAAAGAACATGAGCCTCAAGAACTCAAAAGCCTAAAAAACCTGGCCATGAAACCACAGGTAGGTGCTCAGTCAAGAAGCCCTACACCCTATATATAGTGGCCGTGGTAACATGAAACGAGCCTCGGCCAACAGTAAGAGGTTCGTAAGCGGTGGCGAGGTCTCTACTTTTAGTCTATGCGACAATGCTTCACACGGGGCCTCTTGAAAAATTTTACACCGGGATAGATCATGGGCTATTTATAGCTCACCTGCCGTACGCAGTAGATCATCTCGGGAAAAACACGCCCCGATCACCTCCGAATGTGTCCTTCAGATCGTCTCGGGCCAACTTGTTACCCCGGTCACCTCTGTCTGTCCTTCGGATCAAGCCTGGGCAGAGACACCGCCGTACCGTGTACGACACCACCATCAAACACACTCCGTGGAAAAAATATCACCGGAAGCAGCCGGTTGTTGTATTCTGTGTGGGGTGTTATCTCGTGTGGCCCCGGGTGATAGTATTTAGTGCAGCTCGCGGGAGCGTGACGGGTGTGCGATACCCAGGGGACGTGATACCACTGCCTGCAAGAACTGCTGTGGCACTTGCAGGGTGTGTGGTATTGAGCGGGGGTGATAACACGGATACCTTTTTGCCTACAATGAAGTTCCTGCCGAGCGTAAGTTGCAGTCTGCTGGTAGTAAAGCGGGGGGCAGCCAGTGGAGGCGATAAAACCGCCCGAGTCGTACGGTAAACCTTGCTCGGGTTGATCGGTCGAGCCTGCCCTCCGCTGCTGTCGAAACAGCTACCGAGGCAGCACAAGTTGCAGCGGTATTATGTTCTCCCTGCACGTTCATGTTCTGTTGGAGAGGTGTCCGTACGGGGCGGTTCCCCCGCGCTCAGAGGGTGTCCTTCGGAGTACACCAGTGACCATCCTTGCTGTGATCGGCGGCCACCGCTGTCATATTGACCGAGGTGGAAATAAAGTTTTTGGGCTCTCTGATTACACGGGACCTCAGGGGGGTGCTATCTTGCGTAACCCGGGCGGTGTTTTGGCTCCTCGATTGAGATCGAAAACTAAAACTACAAAAACCGGGTGTGGTATTCTGTGGTGGGTATGTTATTTTGTGGCGTTCTGTATGCGGTGCACCGATCACCCACCGATGTCCTTGAGACTACCTTGGTCAAACATGTACCCCGATCACCTACACGCCTTTCAGGTCGCCTCGGCCGAACTCACCCCGATCACCGACGACGTTCAGATGACCTGGGAAAGAGCACACCCCGATCACTGTCCTTCAGACCACAATTAAGCGAAACATACTCGATCACCCATGTCTTCCAGATCACCTCGGGCAAACATACACAGGCCAACGTACAGGGCGTTGTATGCATACCGATCACGAGGGACATACCCTTCGAAAGAGCAATGCACAGTTCGATCTGTACAATCTGATCTATCCTGGGCGTGGAATTTCGATGTTGTCGGATTCCTTGTTATCCCTGAAGCCCTCCAGCTTTCCTATCAACCAACACTTGGAAGAGGGCGTGGTGGAGATCCCCTTCACAAAGTCAACTAAGAGTTACGACGGGTTGAGGTCTCCAAACCGTCTACAGATCGCCCCACATCCAAGGGCGGTGAAACCAAGGCCTAACGCCTCGTGCCAGCCTTTGGGGATTCTCGCTTTACGGTTGACCGTTTCCGTCGAAAACCGCAGACACGACGCCGGCGGCGTACGGGGTGTCGTCCCCTGTTCGTTCCATGGACGTCCGCTCATGATGACGAGTTTGCTTGGCCTCGCCTGTCGCTCGAGGGTCGACAAAGCTCTGCGCTTCGATCCTTTGTCGGGCATATCACTCTTGCGTAGTCTGACTGTTGATGAAGTATCTTTCCTCTGTAGGATGATAGCGCGTTTGTGTTGATTCGTCTTGGTCCTGCGTTTCATTTATTTTCGTCGTATGCACCATCCTTTGTAGGTGCAGCAGTTAGCTTGCGACCACGGATGGCGTAATCGTTCAGCTACCCAACACGCGCGATCAAATATTTGTAGATTGGACGGTTTCTTTCGCTGAGACAACAACACCTAATATTCCTGTTCGTGCGACTACGCTGAGATTCCAAGCCTGGTCTCACACCTCACAAGGTTGCGAGGTTAACTGACCGTGTAGTTCAATCGCTCTGCGATGCTTTCGTCAAGCAGGCCACACTCCCTGGAGAGGTGTGGCGTAGTAGCCATGACAAAACATTCCAGCCGCCTGCTGGGCGTCCTCGGTGCAGCGGTCGTCCTGTCCAGTGTCGCCGCCAACTCGTTGAGCAGTTCGGGCTGCTGGGATGCTCTCTACGGAGACGGGTACTGCACGCCGCCAAACAACAACGCAGAATGCGGTATGTGTACTGTACCTCCTGGTGGTGTGACGTGCCCATCTTTGGAAATATTGTTCAAGAGTGATAAAAGCTCCTGTCGCACATTCCTGCGAGTAGTAGTCATAGCTGCAAACCCTGCTGTGCGATGAGCAATCGCCCTTAGGTTAGATTAGTACGTGCTGAAGGCGCAACGACCCGAGCATCCAGCTACAGTCTGAACCGTTCCTACAATACCCTCGTTGCATCGGGTTCGAGCTGACTCGTCACTATCTTCCTGAGGTCCGTTCCCTCTTGTTTCCTGTTGCCATTCGATGTCGTCCCCCCATTGGCCCCCGCTTTCGCAGGCTACGACGGCGGTGACTGCTGCGAGTGCACTTGCCAGGTAAGATCGGTTTCACCCGTTGTTCTCTTTCGAGATGTTGACTGTGATGTTTTGTGTGCCCCATCCGCCCTCGACACGGTCTGATTTTCCAATCGAGCGCACCCGTTCGTACTGGCATACTGCATGGCGGATGCAAGCCCGATGCGTTTCCACGTTTCAAATACTCATGACAGAGGGTTCCATGTAGCATGGCCATAGTTTTCTCTCTCTCTCTACCCTTCCCCCCCGACTCGAAGTGCCCTTGCTGAGAAATGGACTGCCCGCTCAAACTCTGCTGCCCCTACCCTTTCCAGACTCAAAGCGATGACGACTACTACTCTGGGAGATGCGACAAAGAGTACATGGCCTGCATCGACCCGGACGCCTCTTGCGTCGACGATGACGACGTTACCATTGAATTGGTGGCGAACTGTTCCCATGCTGGCGCTATCGGAGACGGTATCTGCGAAAAAGGGAACAACAATCCAGAGTGCGGTACGTTGGCCCTGGAAACGAGTACACCCAACGGGAAAAAGTATCCAGTGAAGAAAGGAGGTTTCGCTCGATTTCGTGGACACGACCACACCCCCGAAACACTTTTCAACGGTTTCGTTCGGGTTAGAATCAACAAGATCACGCCATAAGAGTAAATCAGCCGTGCGACAACTTGACCTTTTCAATTTGTGACCTCTCGATACATGCTGCTGTTCTTGGTCTCCATTTCACCTTCCTTCATCTCACTGTTCGCATGCACCCGCCAGGTGGCCATGGCGTTGATGGTGTAGAAGCTCATCTCTCCTACGACCGCATTTATTACGATGTGTCTCTCTCGCCGTTTTCTTTATTTCTCTCCCTCCCTCACCCCCCCCTACCTACCTATATATCTGTCCGCAACCCATCAGTCAATCTTCTGCATCTCCTTTTGTTATCCCATCCAATCTCAATCTCCCACGAAACTGTCACGGGTGCGATGACGGCTGTATGCATAGGACATCCCCAAACCAAAACGAGAACTAGACCCATTAGTTTCCCCAACATTCCCTCCAAAGTGACGTGAGGGTTGCACAAAATTCGAATATAGAGCAGGCACTATTTAGGCTGTAGCGGGAAAAGATGTGGGCGAAGAATGTCAGCGATTACGCGTGAGTCGGTGAGTCGGTGGTGAGGGGGAGGGATGGGTTCGGATTGAGGTTGGAGGTAACATGGCGAATAACCCCTTGTACTTGGCAATCCCTCTCGCCGTACCTGCCCTGTCCATGCCGCCGTTTTCCTTCCTTTCACGTTGGCTGCCCTTTCATGAAGCGGTCGGTGGGCAGTGGTGGCTCAACACCAGACGTGAAGATGTTGAAAAAACATGCCCTTCCTCTTGCAAAGTTGACTAGAATTTGGATAGCATGCAAGCCTGCTCGACCTCATCCCAACGGCAAGGTCAGGTGTGACCCTGGTAGTTATCGTCTGCCCTCTCCCCCATTCTGTCCTTGTTTGTCCCGTGTCTCCCAGACTACGACGGCGGTGACTGCTGCGAGTGCACATGCGTGGTGAGAACTGTAAAAAGTGTGAATCGTGAAAGGATTCTACTAAAGAAGGTGGCTTCTCCATCCTCAGTAGAATTCTCTCCCCTCGCCCTTCTTCCACACCCCTATTTTACCACCAATCTGAATCTGACCTCGACCATATTCTTTCTCTTCGTGTCCACGGGTGTACACATCCGAAGCACCAAAAGCGCTGGAACTACCCGTAGGCATTACAAGGGGCAGTCAATATAGTTACTCTCGATGTGGCGTTTCCCCTCCCATCTCTCAGGCCGAACAATCCCCCCCTCTCTCACCCATTTTTCCTAGACATACCTTCTCTCTTTTTGGTACGCATGCACACGGAAGGTGTCCTAGGCGGGTTCCCTGAATTTCCTCTCTTCACCTCTCACTCCCACGCCTCTCTCTCATTCCGAGATCCCCGCGGTTGTGAGAATTTACTTGTCCTCTCTTTGCCGCGCGCTTCCAACACCAGAACCCACAGGGCGGCGACCACCACTGGATCTGCTCCAAAAACGGCTCTGGGTTTGCCTGCGTCGACCCGGACGCACCCTGCTATGCCGAAGACGGTGTCACCGTCGAAGCCTCGCAGGAGTGCGACTTTTGGGATTTGGGGGACGGCTGGTGTGACCAGGTTAACAACAACGAGTTATGCGGTAAGTGTTTCATATGGCCATGGGATGTAAATCTATTGCACACGTGAACGTACGCAAGCACATCGACCTACGCGCACCCGTGTCAGACAACCGCTTGACAGATTTTAACGAAGTGGTGGCCTGCTTTGTGTCCCTCTCTCTTTGCTCTCTCTCTCTTTCTCTTCCTCCCTCTCTCTCGCTCTTGCTCCCTCACCTACACGCCCCTCTTGCTGCTCCAGCGCCCCCTTGCGCATAGAGACCCCTTCATTTCCCCCACCTCCTTTGCCTTTGAAGGGCGGCATCACTCACCCCACGCGCGCTGTGTATTCACTGCATGTTGGAAATCTCGTCAGCGGATATGTAGTTTCAGGTTGGTCTCATACCGTTAACCGGACGTGTGAGGTTTGCTGTACTCCGATGGGTCGCGGGTCTTGAACCAGAGGAAGCCGTAAACCTATGCATACGATTCATTTCCGATGTTCTTCGACGTACGCGTATACATCAAAAAATTCCCTCATCCCTGCTTGATCGTTGGCGTGCCTTCTTGCCTCAGGCTACGACGACGGCGACTGCTGCGAGTGCACTTGTGTGGTAGGTTAATCGAAAAGCACGTGGGAGGTCTGAAGAATGTATGGTTTGGACCCTTTGTGGCCTTGGTAGATATGTGCATTTCTCAGCTCGGCATACGCCGTCTCAATTCTGAAGAACCCTTCAGTCTAGAGACGTTTGCAGTTCTGCCTTCGCACATGTGTGGTGATGCACAAAGAAGGCACAGGTTTTCACTTTCAGTAGCAGTAGGGTCTGCAGAAAGAAAACAGATACTCGAGTAGCCGCTGAACAAGACGAGGCTTGAAACTTTGTCGTAGCGCTTGTACGCTCTGCACTTACTGGCGTTGGTTGTCCGAGAAAATCCGTCTGTAACTCCTCCCCCCCCTAATGTCCTCGCTAATGCTCCGTGACAACAAGGCTCCATCGTCTCGAGGACGCGTGGTCAACAATTAAGGCATGCAAAACATGAGTACGTCCCCCCCCCCTCCCCGCCGGCCCTCGCGAATTATTTGAAAACACAAGTTCCAGCTGCTATTGCTAGGACGAGTCCTGCCTATGTTAGCCTTGACCCCTCCCTTCCAGTTCGCCTTCTTCAACCATTACCAAGTCTTTTGTCTGTTTCTGCTCACGCATGTGCCAGAACCCATCGGACGACATCGACTGGACTTGCAGCATTTTCGACGCCTGTATCGACCCCGAGGCCCCCTGTGTTGACGACGATATCACCGCTGTGATGGTGGAGGAGTGCGGGTACGTCAAATCTGCAACTACCGCGATTGAGTCTATGCACAATTTCCTCTTGGTGCCGTCGAGGAGCGTCTCCAATGTAGTGCTGCGTTTAGACGTCCATCGAGCAGCACAACCAAGGGCGTGATGCTTCCACTAGTTTTACTGCTTTGCCACATGTTGTCGCTGACACCCCACCTTCGAAAATCTGTACGAACACGCCTGGTTTTTGGGGAATGGCTTTTCCCTGCCGATGTGTTGTTCGGCGTGGCATGGGTGTACGTGCCGTGACATCGATATGTCTCCAATATGATTGCGGAGTTTCCCACATGTGTGTGTGTGAGTGGTTTTTTAGCATCGACCGCGCTGACTGGCTGACCAATGAAAATACGTCAGTCTCAGTGCGGTTGAAAAGTGTGTGTGTGTTTTTTTGTTCGACCTTGCTGAGCCCTCAAACCCATGTTCGCCATGATGATGAGATGTTCAGATGTAGCCCGCGCGGAATGAGTTTCGGATTTCCCGGTTCAGGCGCGTGTCCAGCCGTTTATTTGCCGTGGTTAGTTGGGATCCGGACAAACAAGGCGTTGCCGGCTCGTTGCTACGCTCCAGTACTGGAATAAACCTGAAGTTCATTTTTGCTGCCTTGACGTATAACGCGCTTGACGCCACTGACGGCAGGCGGTTGTCAGGTGTGGGCGATGGATTGTGTGACGAGGAGAACAACAACGAACTGTGCGGTGAGATTGCGTTGGGCTGTGGAGCACTTGTGCGGAAGCCGACGTGGCTTCCCGTCCACACGTCGGCATTTTAGATATAATTCGGAGGTCAGGGACTCAATCGGTGTCATTCGACCAAACCTCTTGGCATCACCATCCTCCTGTAAGTTTTTCATGCCCATTTTTTCGCCCCTGCCCCCTGATTCGGCAGGCTACGATGGCGGTGACTGCTGCGAGTGCACATGCGAGGTGAGCAACCTTTCCACTACGCATGCCCCCAACTTATAGCACCTTTTCGTGTCCTTGGTAGATAGCGCATATATCTCTTTGCCCCCACCTTTTCATCGGCTGCCCCGATTACCTCATCTCTGGATCTGCACGAGCATTTGTTTTCTTCGCCGCGATATTTCTGGTAAGCCCTTGGAATCCGCAATAGGTCTACCAAAGGAGTTCGATCGGCGTTCTTTCGGTACGTATCTTCCTTAATTCTCCGTCCCAATGGTCAGATATGGTATTTTTTCGCACCAACCCTTATCATTCGTTGCCTTGGAAACACACTCGTCAGGTACCTACGGACGATGACTGGGACAACGACTTGTACGTCGCCTGCGGCGAAGGGTTCGCCTGCATCGACCCCAGCGCCCCTTGCGTCAACGATGACGACATCACTGTCGATGTCGACGAGAGCTGCGACGCTGTCGGTATGGGCGACGGCTACTGTGACATGGACAACAACAACGCAGCCTGCGGTGCGTGCTCATGGCTCTCGTGTACGGTAGATTGTCTTGCCTATATTGCCAGCAGGCCATGAAAGGTGCAAGCCCTGTATCATTTTTGCCACCCAGGCGGAATCAAATGGCGGAAAGAAAATGATGGAAAGGCGAGAGCCATGTCAAGAAAACGTGGAAGCCCGAATTCGACTGTGACACGCGGGCGGTAACGTACGTGAAACACTGCTGTCCAATGACAGAGAGGGCGTGGTGTGGTATGGTGTGGTGTAATGTGATGTTTACAGAATAATTCTCCTCAACCGTTCGTGTTGCGTATGCTCCCCCCGCCCCGAACTATCCTCAGCTTACGATGGCGGCGACTGCTGCGAGTGCACGTGCGAGGTATGGGAATGATTTCTTCTCCTTGCCCATTCTAGGCGAAACGCTTTGAAAGGCATGAGGCTGCTCTCAACGAGATGGTTCCAACATTGCCGTTTTTCGACCCCGCCACTGTTGCTACTGCTGTGGAGTTATCCGAGCTTTGAAATTCGGGCCAGGGGGTGCGAGGTCTGATACCTTGTGTCGCCAACGGTAGCGCCTCACAGCCGTCTCCGGGAGCATGCAAAGCAATGTAGCCGCTTGAAAACCAGTCAGTGCAAGGAATGGAGCACGGAGTAAACGAGCCTCACGCTCCGTTGCTTGGATGCGTGGCACGTACCCTTCGTGCCGCCCGCCAAACACCTCGCGGCGTTTCGCCCAGTGGTAGTATGCCTTCCATGTCGACAAAACCCCGTCCGATGTTCCATCCCGGTGCTATGGTTTGTGGTGTCAGTAGTACGGCCAGGCGTGATGGTGACGTCGCTGTCCCTGGCGCTTTGTTACTCGATCTCTTGCACGTGTTCGCGCGTTTTTCCGGCTAACGTATTGCTACGCATGTGCCTGTCGACAAGCCAAACAACAAGTGCGGTGGGAGGAGCGGCTTCGCCTGCATCGACCCTGGAGCACCCTGCGTCGATGACGATTCAGTCACCGTGGATATGATCGACAACTGCGACTACCTACGGGTAATGGGGAATGGCTGGTGTGACGAAGAGAACAACAACGAGCTATGCGGTAAGCCTCGTGGTTCTATGTAGTATCGGAAGGCGGTGATTTGCTGCTTCTTGAAAACGTTCACCACCGTGCTGGAGCAGGCGCTGTCCCAAGCAGAATAGGCCGCGACAGTCAACCTTGTCAAGCAACATTGCTCGCCCAACTGGCTGAATCCCTTCTTGTTTGATGCGTCCGGATGGGTTTTCAGTGAATTAAGTAGTGTAGCTCGTTCGACACTTCCCAGAAATCGCAGGCGTTGCCGTCTCAAGCGAATGCCTATGCATGGAAAATACGGGGTGTCGTTGGCGCTCTGCCCCATGTATCCTTCCCGCGTTGGTTGTCTCAAGACCAAGCTATGCATGTAGCGCTACTGGCCAAGAAACAACCTCTGTCGTTCTGTCCTCTGTGTTTCTCTGCTTCTTTCTTTGATCTGTGCATGTTAGCAACAAATGCGCGGAAGCGATTCTGTGGGCGTCTATTTGTTTGAAGTTGATGGTGCCGATGCCATTACTTCCGCTCGCCCATTTCGGTGTTGTACTGGCATGCGAGATTTGCCGCATGCAAACAAACTATTTCCGTAGGGATCAGGCTCAACCAGCCAACAGCGACCGCTTCCCCTTCTCCTCTTTGCCTTGTAATTCCCCCTCGCTGTTGAACTATCCTTCTGTTCCTCAGCGTACGATGGCGGCGACTGCTGCGAGTGCACGTGCGAGAGCGCTTGGAATGACGACTACACCTGCAGCAGCGAGCACGGCACCTTCAACTGCAAAGACCCGAACGCCTCCTGCTTCGGCGAAGAAACTACTGGGAGCGATGACTTCAGCACCGACGACCAGCCAATGTCGTACGAATTTGTCCCCTGGGAAGAGACAGAGGCCCTGCCGACGGTCGACGGTGCTGTTGAGGTGGGCACCAAGACCGAGGTTGGCGTATCATCTACCGCCCACGACGTGCGGCCCGGCGACGACGGGTGCGGAGAGGTCGGCGGCCTTGGCTGCACGGCGGCCAACACCCGTGATGGAATTTTCTCCGAGATCGAGTCGAGGTGGTCGTGCGCCACGAAGCTCGTGGATGACGAAGGGCCGTGCCAGATCGAGTTCACCTTTGCCGAACCCCAGACCATTGTGGACATCCAGGTTGCCTTCTGGAAGGGAAACGAGCGCACCCGTACCCTAGAGGTGAGGGCGACACCCAGCAGGCTGAAGATCACCGAAACAACAAGCCCTCTATTTTAGTTACTGGTAGCCCCCAACAACACTTGTGCGACTGTGAGCCACCATGAGGACTGCATTTCGTAACGTGTACATGAAATGCTTGGAGGTGTTGACCGCTCCTAGCGATTGAGGTGAATGGCGATGGCACGTTCGCCGCGGGCTGGGAACCCACCTCGAAGCGCGCTATCGTGCCCACACTTCTGACGCCCTCCCATCCCAAGCGGCTTCCGTGGGCGTTTTCCACAGGCGGCGCTCGAAGCAAGTTTCATCTTTGATACCTCGCGAACTTTTCCCCACACAGGTCTACATCAACGGCGAGATGACCCACACTCACGAGTCCTACGCCGATGCCACCTTCAACACGCTCGGTGTGACGGCTACTGACGTCAGTACTGTGATGCTCGAGTCCGTCGCTCTCCTCTCAGACGAATGGATCAGTCTCATCGAGGTGAGCGTTGTGTCCACGATTGCTTGTTGCGAGGGCCTGGGAAATTCGCCAACCGTTGGTGTCGAGGGGATTTGGTGTGCCTCTGGTGTCATCAGGCATACGTGGACAGGGCAAGGTAGTTTTATACCCACCAGGTCAATATTGGACACAAACTCAATCGAGCAGGACAAATACTTGGGCAGTAATGGAAAATTTGTTGGACTCCCAAGGCTTCTCCTGTTTGTCCAGTAGCATCCATTTCGCAACCAGTTCGCCTTTCGGCGCGAGCGAGTCTGTCGCGCAGTGCTCACAAAAACGGTTCTTCGAACGCTGTTCGGACAAATCGCTCGTCCCTTCTCCCTTTCGTCTGTCCTTGTCTCTCTGTGTGGTATTGTATTCCGCTGCGCACCTTCACAACAGGTGCTCATCTTCGTGACACCTTGAGTGAGTGGTGGATACACCGGCTCAAGGCGATTGATTCCATCACGAACCGAGCTTGGCCCTCGACGTGCGTGGGGCAACCTGTCGTTTGGATGCTGACGAAATTTCATGGAACACTGTCGTCGAGAACGGGGTTTTGGGAACGAACGCGTATCACGTAGGGACATTGGGCCTGACACCCTCGCTGATAGTCACCGCGTTTGCTATCAAGCATTTCTTCCTATTTATTTATGCCTGACTGTGATAGTGCCTGATGGAGAAGCGCGGCCTCGTTTATTGTCTCTGGCCCCTGCGGGCGTGTGTGTTTTCTTTCCGGATGTTCCTTTTGTTTGCGTCCGTCTTAAGGTGTGTTTCTTCTCCACTCTTCCTTCAGGTTCATGAAAAGCTGAGTAGAGAATTGGCCGCAGAACGCGTTTGGTGTGTGCTTTTCGGAAGCGATAGCTCCCCATGTGGAGTGGCCACGTCATAACAGTACGTCACAACAGCAATCTGGCAGTTGGCAAGCGGCGGACCTCTCGGGTTGTTCGTGGTGGACTGCAGAGATTCGTTTCCATTTGACAGATCTCCCGTTAAGACACACAGGCCATTTCTGTCCGGATTTGGGTAGATCCGACTCTTTTATTCTTACATCGAAATGTGATTTTCGAGATCTGATTTCTACTTTGAAAACGACCCTAAGGGATTCAAGTCGTGGCAGAAGCGACCCGGCCCCATGGCGCGTAGGAGGGTTTCAACCACGTCGTCGCGAAATGGTCACGACATACAGGGTTTCTTATCGTCGCCGAAGCAAACCCGCACGCGAAATGGCTTTCTATCCTTTCTTTCTTTCTCCACTAGGTTGAATACGCCCATTCGTGCGTGCCCGTTCACGTGACAAAGGGTTTCAAACCATGCCCTAGGCTTTCCCGCCACGTAGCCCTCTTTATGGCGGCGTGGTTTTCCGCTCGTTTCTTTGTCTCGGTGCAAACGTTTGATGATACGCATACATGCGCCCACAAGCAAGTTCAGTGACAACGATGACCATGGGTACCCATGGGCACCCATAGCCGTGGGTAGCCATCATGGGCATCGGTGGTGTGACACCCTACGGGTGCCCATGGGGAATCATGATGATCAGCACGGGTCCCCTTCGTCCCCAACTAAAGAAGACTAGAGCTATGGAAGATGACAATAAATAGCTTCGCAATTTATTGTCATCTTCCATAGGAAGGACAAGACGAACAAACCCACCTGCAGTTTTGAAAGAGACCTGCGGAACGCCTCGGCGTGTGTATGCGCGGTACGAAACACGGGAGATACAACAACGCGTTCAGCGTCTAGGCTAGCGCCGTGGATCTGGGTGAGGATACACTGACGGGCTTTCCTCCACGCCCACACCAAGCCAAATTGTTTTTATTCAGGCTCGCTTCTTCATACAACATGTTGCCATTGATACCTCGACGTTACACCGGGAGAGGCTGCTGGCGAGGAAGCCATGGACGCGATATGGGTTTGGGGAACCTTGGAGGATGAGGATGACGTGCTAGCCGCGATGCGAGAGGATGCAGCAGAGGAAGTCACTGCACGGCTAGCTGGGACCCACTTGGATGACGATTCGGAGGAAAAAGAGAAGGGGGGAGATGACCAAGACGTGAGTACGGAGCGCGTTGGGGGTGCCCCACCGGCCAATGCTGAACTGTCGTCTCACTTCGGCGTCCTGGAGCGGGCTGCGGAGGAGTGTGGGAACGAACGCAGACAGACGCTGCCTTTTACCTGTCTAAAGCCAGGATGGCGAGGATCGCAGCGCTGTACATTTTCGTACTTTTTCATGAAAAGTTTCATGGAAGTCCATGGACTTCCATGGACTTCCAAAAAACCGTTCCATGGACTTCCATGGTCTTCCATGAAACATTTCATGGTCGTTTCATGGAAGACCATGAAATGTTTCATGGAAGACCATGGATTTCCATGGAATTCCATGGAACTTCCATTAAATTTCCATGACCTTCCATGGAAGTTCATGGAATTCCGTGAAACTTTTCACGGCATTTTCATGGGCGTCCATGGTCTTTCATGAAATATTTCATGAACATCCATGAACTTCCATGGAATGTTTCACGGACGTTCGTGGGCTTTCATGAAATATTTCATGAACGGCCATGGATGTTCATGAAATGTTAATTAATGTTTCATGAAAGACCATGGACGTTCATGAAACATTTCATGAACGTTCATGAAACATTTCATGAACATCCATGAACGAACGTTCATGAAAAGATTCATGAAAGCCCATGGACATCCATGAAATGTTTCATGAACGCCCATGGAATATTTCATGGAAATCCAATTCTGGAACGCCAAATTCGTATATGATGCATACCAAGACTGAGAGAATTTGTGCAGGAGATTGTTGAGGAGTGTGGCTGCTAGCATGAATAGGGTACATCCTATTGTTCATAGGAGTGGGATGGTCATCAGGTATGTATTCCTTCTTGTACCCATACGCCCCCCCCCCCCTAGAATTATCTACTCTGTGTGCCCCCTAAGATGAAGTTGGATCCCGACTTCATCCCAGACCCTTGCTGATCGTCTCTCAGCAATAACAAGCAATTTTCCCATCTCTACGTGGCCGTGGACGAGATTGTCAACGACGGGACCTTCATGATACGTAGATGCGGTGTGATACATGACGTCTTGTACAGTACAACATAACACGGTGTCATGAATGAATTGATGGTTTATGAGATGATTGTAATGAATGGTAGCGAAACATCACGAGGTGTGCGAGCCCCACCGTGCTCACTCCCCAACTATCCCTCAGCATCTCTCCTCTACAAGTAAACTGATGAAGAAGAAGAAGAAGAAAGAAAGTACAAGTCCCAGAAGCGGCATTTAGCTAATCGATAGTTCGGGTGGCTCAGTTGTGTGTGATGGGAGCGTAGAACAGCTCGGCCATGACGGGCCGTAAGGGTAGGTAAAGACGTGTAGACGTGCTGAAAAACGTGTTGTGTTCATCGGGGGCGTGCTTGAGCTCGTCATTCCATCACGGCATCAAGTCACGCATAACGCTTTAACACCCAGAACGAATCTCCATGAATCTCCACCAATCTACTACACTCCCACGGAAAACACAAAAGAAACTTCTTGTTCCTCCGTAGTTCGTCACTGCAATCCCCGCATATGTATACGCAATATACCACCCCCATGCTATGCTACGAGTATATCGAATAGCCCCCCTGCTCGTATGCATCGTCATGCTCCGACAAAATATCAAAGTCATCCTTCTCATACCAGTTTATCCCAAAACAAATCAAAACCAAGACAAAATCGAAAACTCCAACACCAAAACAATACCTCCAAAAACAATCAATCGCATACCAACTCTTCCAAATCATCAAGAAAAATCAAAAACATTAACCTTCCAAGACACTACCATCTCCACTTGACCCTCTCTATCTCTTGTTCAAACTCGTACATATCCTCTCTCTTCCACTCAACGGCAAAGCACGGTTTGATCCCAAAACACCTCGTTCACTGCAAATTCATCACAAAGTCTCTGTGCAACGCAAAAGATTCCTTGCTGATAGCCTTCGTCAAGAAATCTGCATGCTGAAACTCCGACGCCACATGAGTAATCGAAATCTCCTTCCTCTCTACCAGTTCCCTGATAAAGTGATGCCGTACATCAATGTGCTTCGAGTTTGAGTTCGTGATCGGGTTGTGCGCAATCTGAATCGCTCCCTGATTATCCTCGAAGACCTGAATGCACGGCATGCCTGCATCTGGCAACATAAAACGCCAAACTTGCCTCAAGAAAAGCACCTCCTTCAAGACGTCGGCAACTGCCACATACTCTGCTTCCGTTGTGGAAAGCGTAACGCACTTCTGCGTCCTCGAAAACCAAGTCACACACCCACCCCCACACATCACTAGTCCTCCTGAAACCGACCTACGGTCTGCTGCCTTGCTCGCATAGTTAGCATCCACAAACACCTGCATGCTCATGCCAGTCACCACACCCCCCTCAAATGTAATCCCCATCCAACTCGTCCTACGCACGTACCCTAAAATACCAAGTGCTGCCTTCCAGTGCACCATCTTGGGAGACGCGCAATACCGCGCTACTGCTCGTACTGCATTCGCGATGTCCGGCCTGGTTTGAGTGGCCAACCACATCAGGGATCCTACCAACTCGCGAAAAGGGACATCAGCACACGCTTCGTTCTCGTCAAAGTCGGTGAGCTCCATGCTCACAGGCAAGGGCACACTCTCCCCCCACTCTACGCCGTACTCTGCAGCCAACTCTTCTGCAAACCTTTGCTGCGAGATCCTCAAAAGGCGTCTCTCTAGATCTCTCTGGTAAAAGCACGCGGAGTACCACCTCAACTCCCCAAGGTTCTTCACGGGGACCATCTCGTTGAGGTCTCTGCCAAACTTGTCACATCTCTCCTTCTGCCCTACGGTAAAAATGTCATCCACGTGGACCACGATGATCATGATCACACATCCATCCTCCATAAATCGAAATACACATGCATCCGCCAAACATTGCACAAATCCTAAAAGTAACAAACACCTCGTCAGGTGCGCATGCCATTGTCGTGACGCCTGCTTCAAACCATACAGACTCTTACATAGCTTCACGATCAGTCCAGATAACCTACCACAACCTCGCGGGAGACGCATGAAAACATCCTCTTCAAGCTCAGACTGCACAAATGCCTGCTGAATATCGAAATGACACAAGTCAAGGTTCTGCTCACATGCCAAAGCTGCCAACAAACGCACACTAGACACGGATACTGTGGGTGCAAACAATTCTCCAAAATCAATCGAAGCCCTCTGCATGTCCCCCCGCGCTACAAGTCTTGCCTTGAATTTCGTCGGCCATCCGTACTCGTCTGCCTTACAGTTGAATACCCACTTGGCGTTGATGAAGTTTTCTACTGGTTGCTACACCGGACTAAAAGTACCTGCATCCAACAGACCGAAAAACTCCCGACCGACTGCATCATCCCACAACTCTGAATGTTGAGACCGCATGGCCTCCTTGAACATTTTCGGCACTCGGAGGTCGCTGGCGAGGCAGTGAGGGAGGTCCGGCGTCTTGTCAGGAGGGCGCTTGGCACGAAGAGTGGCTTCCACGTCCTCGCGGGTGGCGAACATTGCTGCGAACATGTGCAGCCCCCCCGGCCCCCCAGATCCTGCGGCCCTCCCGCTCCCATGGCCTGCTAAACTCGTATCTTGCGGCGGTGGGGGAGCGGGAGGGGCGATGCTGGCGGACGGTGGCAGGTCTCGACGTCCTTGGTCGACGACCTCCCGGGTGGCGAGCGACGAGACGAGCGCATCCTTGCCCATCATCGACAGCAGCCCAAGGCGGTGTTGGAGAGCGGTGCCGCCACCTGACGGCGACGGCGGTTGCTGTTGCTCATCCATGAAGCGCACTCGGTCGCCGCGCGTACGGCCATGCACTCTGGTTTCCTTCTCGCCCAACTCTCTGACGGCTCGCTGTGAAAGCGGCGGGTGATGGGGAGCGGGAGCGGCGGCGCTTGCGGGCGGTGGTGTCGGCGGTGGACGGGGCGGCGTGGCTGCAGTGGACGGCGGTGCACTCGAAGACGCCGTGGAGATCGGCGACGCGGCCCCCGGACCCTGTGAAGATCGACGGAGAAGCGGGCGGCGGCGAAGCGGTAGTCGCTGTGGGCGGGGTGTAGGTGTACGTCCGCGATGTCCATGGCGGTGGCGGTGCGGCAGCGGCTGCAGGAACGGCGGCGGCCGGCGAGGGCGCCGCGGTGACCGAAGAGCCCCCCCCGCTGGCCGGTATCGGCGCCGGCACGGCGGTGCGACGGTTGATCCACACGACGT